AAAAAAAAAAAACAAGGTGAAAACTATATGTTGATTATTCTACTATCTATTTATTTATTTATTTAAAGATTTTATTTATTTGAGAGAGTGAGTGAGAGAGAGCACAAGCCGGGGGAGGGGCAGAAGTAGAGGGAGAAGCAGACTCCCCACTGAGCAAGAAGGCTGATGCGGGGCTCGATCCCAGGACCCAGGGATCGTGACCTGAGCTGAAGGCAGACGCTTAACTGACTGAGCCACCCAGGCACCTTATTCGACCATTTATTTAAAACAAGAATGTTTTTCTGGGTTTGCATATAAATAAAATATTTCCAGATGGATAACATGAAAAAACCCCCTCAAGTTCTGGAGGAAGATACACATGCAGACCATTTTGTGTGAGTGCATGCTCTAGGGAAGGGAAGAGCCTTAAGTTTGTAGTTTAAAAACCTACTCACTCTGTGAATCACCTAGCCCTTCTTTGCCTCATCTGTGAAATCCAAAAGCAGGAATATACCCTCTAAAAGTCAAGGTCATCCCTAGAGGGATCTTGGGAAGCAAAATGAACGGTGACTCTCTGATGTTTGGTCGTCTGTGACCTTTGGCCATGTGATTGATCTTGCCGGGGTTTGATCATGAATGGCTTCGAGGATTCTAGAGAAGGACCAAGTCCCAGGTCTTGGTATAGAATTCTGGCTTCTTCACAGACTGGCTATGTCTGCTTCTCTCTCACCTGAACCCTTTACTCCAGCGAAATTGGTCTACGCCCCTGAGGCTTTGCTCTTGCTAAAAGACCCTACCTGCAAACCTCCTGCCCATTCCTTGCCACCTGGAAGGTTCTCCAACTGTTGAGGGCCTCACAAGCCTTTTGTAATCACTTTATCTCTGCACTCATGAAACAATTAATTTTTGCATTGCTATGTAGGCCCTTAGTATATTTTACTGTCTTCATCTGCATATCTGGAAAGCTAAATAAGACTTGCTCTCAGTAGGTGGAGCATGGGACTCTTGACCTCGGGGTTGTGAGTTCAAGCCCCATGTTGGGTGTAGAAATTACTTAAAAATAAAATCTTAAAAAAAAAAAAGACTTGCTCTCTTAAGTGTTTTATATCTACCCATAGTTTTCATAGACAGTTACTATCTTACTATTTATATTTAAACTATTGTTCTATCAAGTTCTCTCTCCTAATCATTTCCCCCCAAATGCCTTTGTTCTAATCTTTTCCATTAAGCTTGGTATAAGGTCAATCTCTCTGTCATCACACTGGCTTTGAATGGTGCAAGGGAATAGTTTTGAATTTCTTTTCTCTTTGTTCAAGTCTTTCCCTCTAACAGAGGTGATAATTAGCAGTAGAATGGTTAAAAATAACAATGGCTTCTTATCATATTATCTATTGAGTACTTATTTTATGCTAGACACCGTTCAAAGTGCTTTGCATACATTAGTTCATTTAATTCTCATGATAGCCCTATGATATATGTACCTTTATGATCCCATGTATAATATAGGTAAGGAAACAGGAACAGAGGAGTAACTTGTCTGAGGTTCCACACTAGAAGATTGCAGATCCAGGATTTAAACCCAGTGGACTCCACCCACTGTATTATCCTGCTCCTTGAAAGATGGGTAGCAGTAGAAAGTAGAAACAATTGTCCTGGGGGCCCCTGGGTGGCACAGTTGGTTAAGCATCCAGCTCTTAGTTTCAGCTCAGGTGGTGATCTCAGGGTAGTGAGACTGAGCCCCATGTCAGGCTCTGTGCTCAGTGAGGAGTCCGCTTAATACTCTCACTCTCCCTCTCACTCTGCCCCCTCCTCTAAAGTAAATAAGTAAGTAAATAAATAAATAAATAAACTTTAAAAATCTTAACAAAAAAGAAACAATTGTCCTGGATAAACCCATGTTCGTCGTCAGTCCCCAGACATCTTTCAGAATATTTGAGAGATATTGGGGACTGAGTTAGAGAGGCAGAGCTGAAAGAAAGTGGAGGATTGCACAATGGCTTTGTGAAACTATAAGCTTGAGAAAGCCAATCTAGATGATTAAGTCATGGGGTTTTTTTGGTCCTTGATTGTTTCAGTTTTTACTATGAAACTTAGCAGTGATAAAGCCCTAATTGATGTTATTTGAGAGTCAAACATTCATCTTGTGGGAATGTTTGCATATTTTGCCTCTGCTTATAAAGACTAAGCTAATGGTTTTGTAATTTTCATTTTCATGCAGAAAAAAAGCTATTGAGTCACTAATTATGTTTTTTTATTGGCACTTAGCTATGTACTGTTCACACACTGATCTATAAATCTCAGCCTATTTTATTTTGCCCAGTTCACTTATGCAGAAAGTGAACATTTGAACTCTGCTAGTTCTGTATGCCTTTATTAGCGTTCCAGAGACATCCATTCAACTTGAATTGACTTCTGCAGGATAACTTTTCAGAAAAGTAGTTTTCTAATCTGTGGAGTTTTGAAATATAAAGAAATAATTAATTTCTCATATTCATTAATTAGATCCCAACTTTCTTTTAAAAAATCACCTTAACACTGACCTCCGTTTAGGCCCTAGTTCTCAGACTTTAGTGTGTATAGGAATCACTTGGGAAGCTCATGAAAATGCACCTCCCTGGGCCCCATCTTCAGAGACCTGTTCACTCCCCAGGTGATTCTGAGGCAAATGTCCTCAGAGTGCCAGAATAGAATGAAGGATGTGGAGAGGAGTGAGGGGTAGAGAAACTCAAGATTCTGGGGACTCAGGCAGTAAAGTGCCAGAAAGCAGATGGGCCTGTCATCAGGGCTATTCAGGAGGGTGTTGGAAGTCAGGCCTCCAGGTAATAGAAGACTTCAGCCCCTAGGTGACAGAATACTATTTACATCCATCTTGTAACTGTGGTAAGAATCATTCACCTCCTGTGCAGTTATAGTCTCTAGATCTGGGGGAGAAAGAAGTCTGCAGATGGCTCAAGGCTCACGGTGAACATCAGGGGTGGGGCCAGGTCAAGAGGCAGAGCTGGGGAAGGAGAGACAGTTAGGTCTGACCACTTTGTCAGAGTCTGGAGGGCTCGGTTCTCAGCCTGCGGGCTACACAATAAATAAAGGGGACATGGAACTAATTGCAAAGGGAGAAATATGTTGTGCAGGGTCCAATCAAGGGAAATTATCCTCTTTTTTTTTTGGAAGAACACTATGAGAACTGCTGAGAGTCTGAGCCAGGACCCCCAGGCCTGGATCTGCTGATGCTTGGTCCACGAAAGTAGAAAGAACTCTGCATGATTCAAGGGGTGGAATTATTTTGTTCACAAGAGAGTGACAGGGACAATAGCCAGCAAGAACAGGTCCTGTGTAAAAGAAGGGCCTCCCCCCCTCTAGCCCCAGCCCTGCCCCCATGCACACTAGCTCTTGCCAGCAGACAGGAAACCAAAAAGGCAAAGAGAAATGTCTAAGGAGGAGTCCAGGTGGTTTCTGTGGGAGGTGTGCTGTAAACCTTTCTCTCTGTCCGAAGTGGAGAAATACTCAATAATTCTGTATGTCTCACCAATACTTTTATGAGAAGTTTCTCCTTTGGGGAAAACTCAGAGGAAAATAAGATGGCAGCCGCTTTTCGAGTTCATATATGTACTTTACACATCCAGTTCCAGTAAGACATGTGTTTCTCATCTTTATGAACTATGCTACAATTTTTCTTCCTTCCTTCTTTCCTCCCTCCCTCCTTTCTTTCTTTCTTTCTTTCTTTTTCTTTTCTTTCTTCTTTCTTTCTTTCTTTCCTTCTTTCTTTTTAAAGTTTTATATATTTAAGTAAGCTCTACACCCAACATGGGGCTCAAACTCATGGCCCCAAAATCAAGAGTCACATGCTCTTCCAATGGAGCCAGCCAGGAGCTCCATATGCTATAATTTTTCAAAGATCTGCTCTTTAGATGTTGTGAGCGATAAAATACAAATACATTTTTAAAAAGATTTCTTGGATTCGCAGTAGATTTTGAGGGTGGATTTTCTCCATCACTTTTGTGGTTGGGTCTGAGGAATTTCTTTTGACTTTAAAAAGGAGGTCTTCATTCCTTAAAAATGGTAGAAACCACTGATCAAAAGTATCAACTATGTTTTCAATTTGACTACAAAGCGCTGCTCACGTAAGGGAAAACACTGAGCAGCAACCCTATTGTGTCATTTACAATGGATTTTTCTTTAAAGAGTAAAGGGAAACTGCATTTCAGTTTGACTTCAACAAAATATTAACACTGGATAAAAAGAGATGGTATCTATAAGGCATGTTGACTTAAAAAAACTGTCATGTTATTTGACTTTGTAATTGTATGAGCAAAGTCTATCTGCTGTTTAGGAAGAACGTGTAAATCCAGGAAGGGTGATTTGTTTCATTTTCCCTAGGCTCTGTTATGTGGTCTACTTATTACATGTCCTGAGGATCCGCTGAAATATTTACAGAAAATGATCATTACTATAATGGAAAATGGCCTTGAAAGTCTTCTCTGGTGAGTATTGCTTTGCTTTAGGGTAGGGAGATGTTTTATTTTGAAGGTAAAACACTCACTGTACAGTCGGTAAAAAGGTCTTGCCAATGAATGCTTCCGGTTTCAAGATGGTGAAAGAATCCCTTCATAGGCTTTTAAGTCCTAAAGACTTCACTAGGAACAATTTCCCCACTGGTTCTTAACTTGAGAAGTACAGTCCTCTGTCATCAATCACATGCTCACAGGGCAGATATTTCAAGTTGGGGATGAGGAAAGGGAGGCATGCCCATTGGGGAGCACAAGAAAATCTTGAGGAGGGGGTTGTCTGACAAAGCCCTGCAGGTGATTTTGACATGCCTCTCCCAAAAGTGTCTCTTCCTTCACCTCCCTTCCCCTCCATCCAAGGAATCACTGATTTAAATTGCTGATTTAATTATGGAACTAACGACTATGAAATGAAATGTTTGCCTCTGTTTGACGATTTTATTAAAGGGATATGTGCATTGATCCATCAATGAGGCCAAAAATTCGGAGACTCTCTGAAACGTACATGGAACAACTTTTTGGACTGGATGATCAGCTGGTCAGTATTAGTAACAAAACATTTAAAAATATACATCTCAAGTTTTGATGGAAGTTCTCAAATGGATTTTATAAGATGTATGAGGTCAAACTGTTTTGGAATTGGGGCACTCAGAAAAGTGAAGGAACTTCTCTCTCTCTCTCTCTCACACACACACACACACACACACACACACACACACACGCCCACAGAGCCCACATTCATAGTAACCTCCCCAAATTTCCAAGAAGCATTTACCAGGCCTTTATTCTTCCTCTTCTGATAAAATCTTTCTATTTCCCCCTTTCCTCTTTTTCCTCCTCCTCCTCTCTTGCATCTTTATAATGATAAAGACAGCATTATGGAAAGCTTCAAAGGAGGATATTTTCTTTCCGTTCTAATCTACTTCCTTCTGTCTTCTACCCCTTCTCCATTCTCTTTGCCATCTGCCCTGGGATTATGCTTCAAAAAATAAAGATAAGGCCAGACATTAATGAGCTCTAACTTAAAAGCCAGACCCGATTGTTAGTGAAAGGAATGACCAGCTCCAACAGCTGGTTTTGATCCTGTAAAGAGGGCAAGGAAGTAATTCAGGACATGGGGACTTTTAGAACAAAGACTGTGTATCTGAGAGAAGCTAAAATAGCAAAAGGCATGTGGGGAGAGAAATACCAATGCAAATTACGTGTGGGTGGAACTGAGCATGATACCTCTAGATCCCAGGCTGATGTCTTGGTAAGCGTAGGCAGGGCTTGGGAATTGCTGGTGAAGTCGGGCACTGAAAAGTAGAATCAAAGCCTGGGTCAAGGTGGATGCTGAGAGCCAGGATCAATCTGAAGCATCATCTGGAAGGCTGGGGGGAGGGTAACATGGGATCCTGACCAATGGTCTGCAACAGAGAGACAGAAATAGAGGGATCGGATATTTCTGCCAAGACTGGGATGATTCAGAGTACCCGTACCCGGGGAAAAACTCACAGGTCGAATCCTAGTTGATCTGCATCATGGTGTGTGGCTGTCTTAATGACTTCACTTTATCAGCCACGAACTTCATCAACTTCTGTCAAATGCATATATCTGCAAACTGTGTTCTTGGAGATGTTTGGGGGGGCCACCTCAGGAACTGAGGGGGAGACCCAGGGGATAGGATTCTAGGTCTCTCATCCCCACCTTACAGTCTAGAATAATTCCACTTTGAGTATAATGTCATCTGAAAAAAGCTTAAATATCATTGCTATAAGATACTAAAATTATTTAAAAACCTGGGATAGAGGGATAAACCTCATTGTCAATATCTTGAAAGTGATTTTATAAAATACAATCAGATTATGTCCAATGTGTAACTAGAAGCCTATAGAGAATCTTTTAAAGAGTTGCAGGGGATTCTGAGACACCATAGCTACTTCAAACCTAAAGTTTTATTAGAAAAGGAATTCTCGGAGATATTTCATGATGTTCAAAGTGCAAAGGAAAACTGTGGGAAGCTCATCCGGACTTAGAAAGGAGTATGACAACTCACCAAGGCATAGAAAAGATGCCTGCTTCATATTATAAGGTAGGAAAAATAGAAACTAGATGTGACTTCATAAAAGGTAAATCTCGGGGTGCCTGGGTGGCTCAGTCATTAAGCGTCTGCCTTCGGCTCAGGTCATGATCCCAGGGTCCTGGGATCGAGCCCCACATCGGGCTCCCTGCTCAGCGGGAAGCCTGCTTCTCCCTCTCCCACTCCCCCTGCTTGTGTTCCTGATCTCGCTGTCTCTCTCTGTCAAATAAATAAAATAAAATCTTAAAAAACAAAACAAAACAAAAGGTAAATGTCTAGGTGCCTAGGATTGCTGAGTTAGAGGGCTCAGCCAAAGTTGAATATATATTAATTTATTTCTCCTTCACCCTCAGAGGAAAATGAAAAAAAAATTTTTTTACAAAGAATAAAACACTTTAATCCTTAAAGTTTCCAATATTTTCAATTACAGTATACTAAATATCAGCTTTGCTTTTTTTTTTTCCATTTTCTTTCCCATACTTTCCCATTTTTCTTTCTTATACAGCTATAATTGCTGGTAAGAGAATTTTTAATGTTTTGACAAAACATTTTAAAGATCACAAACAATTGTAATTGTTCCCATTATTAAGATTGCTTTGGATGGCCTCAGCGTGCAGTCACTGTCCTGCAAGGACTGCCTGTATATGCCTATTTATAACTATGTATTTGTTTCTGTTTGTGCAAACAGAGAAGGAAACTGTGAGTAAGCCACATAGTTACAGAAAAGTAGGAACTGCTCTCATAATAGCAAATAGAAAGACATTTTAACTGTGTGTTCCAGGATGAAAGAATCCACCATTTCAGGAGGAAACTAACTTCACAGACTTAATTTTCATTGCTTAGGAAATGAAATCTCCAGATGGGTACTAATTATAAGAAGAAAAGGCATCTATAACATTTAAAAAATCCAGCTTAAACAATAATCAACATTTTGCTTATCTTGTTAATTATTCTCCTCTTGCCCCCCCCCTTTTTTTTTTGCTGAAGTATTAGAAAGCAAATCCCAGGAATTACGTTATTTTACTGGTAAATACATCAATGTGCATCTCTAACAAAAAATGACATGTCAAGAGAACACAGCACAGTGCCATTTTCTATGTAGTGAAATTAGCAATAATTTCTGAACATCACGTGGTGCTGATTTCAGTAGTCTGGTCGACCCACTTTTTATGAATCTGAATATACATATATATATTCCATATTCAGCCCATATTTGTGTTTCCCAAACTGTCTCAAAAATGCCTTTTTTAGGGGCACCTGTGTGGCTCAGTCGTTAAGCGTCTGCCTTCGGCTCAGGTCATGATCCCAGGGTCTTGCGATCAAGCCCTGCATCGGGCTCCCTGCTCCGCGGGAAGCCTGCTTCTCCCTCTCCCACTCCCCCTGCTTATGTTCCCTCTCTCGCTGTGTCTCTCTCTGTCAAATAAATAAATAAAATCTTTTTTAAAAAATGTCTTTTTTGCACATGGCTCTGTCAAGTTGGAATCCATGCAGGCGCAGGGTCCACACTGCACTTGGGTGTCAGATTGAATGCCTCTTGTAATTAATCTACTTTCTTATTTCCCATGCCACTTCTTTATTGAGGAAAACATCATTTGTAAAATGTCCCACATTCTCATTGTTTCCTCTGGCATCATTTCATTTACTTTGTTTCTTGTATTTTCTGCAAGTTTGTAGTTAGATCTACAGACTTGATATTCAGGTTCTTTTTCCCCTTTTTTTCTCTTGGTGACAAGAATAACTGCATAGGAGGTGTTCTGTTCTTCCTAGTGCAGCACATGGGGGGCATTCAGTAGTCTGGTCGACCCACTTTTTATGAATCTTGATTCCTATAGACAGTAATGTTATTGCTTATTGGTTTCATCTTACAATACATGCATAATGGTTTTGGAATAACAATACTACAAGACCACTAACAATAAGACCACTGAATACAGGGGCGCCTGGGTGGCTCAGTCGGTTAAGTGTCTGCCTTCGGCTCAGGTCATGATCCCAGGGTCCTGGGATTGAATCCCGAATCGGCCTCCCTGCTCAGTGGGGAGTCTGCTTCTCCCTCTCCCTCTACCCCTACTCACCCCCCCAACTTGTGTTCTCTCTCTCTCAAAATAAATAAATAAAATCTTTAAAATAAAAAACAAAAAAACCACTGAATGCAGTTTAAGAAAAGTATGCAATTCAAAAAAAATATATACAGTTTTTTTTACCTTAAGATGTATATATCCTACCATATATTTTCAGTAAAAATAATACTTTTTTTTTGTTACCGAAAATAATTCTTTCTTTGTGCTGATGGTCTTTTTTTTCTCTCTGATATAATTATGCTTTTCCAATTATGTATAATAGTACATGGCAGCAAAATCAAAACAATAAAATGAGTGTTCCGAGAAGTATTGCCTCTATTCATACCTTTTTCTCCTCCCAATTCCATCCCTTTTTCTAAGGGTCCAATTTTAGTAGTTTTTAGTTTATCTCTTTAGTTTTTACATTGTTTCTTTTTGAAAAATATGAGCAAATACACTGTGTTCTCCTCCCCTTCAACTTCTTGCATTCAAGTGGCAGACTATGTGTAGCCTTCTGCTTCTTGCTTTTCTCACTTTAACATGTCCTAGAGATTGCTCCCTTTTATTTTTTATTTTATTGTATTTTTTAAAGATTTTATTTATTTATTTGACAGAGACAGCGAGAGAGAGCA